TGGGAGCCTCTCTGTGGGAGGTGAATACATGAATGTCCACCTTCACATCTTGCTGCACATCTGAGAAGTTTCACAATCTGATATGGATAATGCTCCACTGCGAGGCAGAGTCTTGGCTCTCCTCAACATCCAGAGGCCTCTGTAGAGCTTTCTAGACTGATATGAGCAGTGAGGGTAACAGTGGCAGGCTCACCTACAGGAGGGCAAGAGGCAGGACTTCCTGGAACAACCCAGGTACAATCCCTCCCAGAGCAACCTCTTTCCAGAGTTTTCCTCCCTGCCAAGACATATCTGTCTTCCCCACCCCAGTTTCAGGAAGCCTTTCTGAGCCATGCCTGGTACCTCTACAGTCCAAACGAAGGAGAGTCTTGGGTGACCCCACGATGGCTACCTGCTTGGAGAAACTTCATAGAATCAGGGAGTTCTCGGCCCTTCTTTCTGCATGTCCCCACCTGCTCCTGGGTACTTCCCTTGGACATTGTCATTAAGAGTAGATTCACTCTGCCCCATTGGAGTGTGAGTTCCACAGGAGCAGAGTCTAGCTATGGCTGTGTCACACCAATATGAAGAGCCATGTCTGGCACACAGGGAGTCCTGGAAATGTGTTGGCAATAGCTCTCTTTAACAGAAAAACCAAAGTTCAGGATTTGAGTGAATAAGCACCAACGTATGCAATGAGCAAATCCTGGCTGTGTGGGAGAGAGAACTGTTCTAGAACTTGTTTAGTTCATTCCTATTTCTAGACAGCTTATTTAGGGCTTATATTTTCAGGAGTTTAGAGTCCAGGACCATCATGATGGGGAGCATGGCAGCAGGCAGGCAGGCGTGGTGCTGGAGCAGTAGCTGAGAGCTTACATCTTGAGACACACCTACTAGGTAGAAAAAAGCTAAGAATGGCCTGGGCTTTTGAAACCTCAAAGCCCACCCCCAAGTGACACTTCCTCCAACAAGGCCACATCTCCTAATCCTTCCCAAACAGTTCCACCAAGCATTCAAATATGTGAGCCTATGGGGGCCATTCTCATTCAAACCACCTGAGGTTAATAACTAGACAAAAAAAAATAAATGGGCTAGCACTTTCCAAATATTTACAATTGGAATACTGTCTTGGCACATGTCAAGTCTATCCTGGAAAATTTGTAGAGGGGTATCAATTTGCATATGCTGAGAGCATGCCATGCTCTAAGGATGGAAACAAGTCCTGCTCTGCTATCAGGAACAGAAACAAAAGTGTGAATGGTTTGCAGCAAGCTGTGAACAAGGTTCCAGAAAAGACCCAACTGATGCTACTGGGGAACTGCACTCTTCTTTCAATTCTTCCTTGGAAAACAGTCAAATCAGTAAGTGGGGGGCACTGTAAAGTCCTCAGTGGGGCTCGAAATGCTAAAAGAGAGTTGTTGGTTCCCTAAAGAAGTGTGTGAGGACAAACAGAGACATAAAAGTAAGAGAGACTTCATTAAAGCAGTTCAAGCTCTAAAATAAACTCAGTTTGATCAACAAAAAGTCAAGGAGCAAGGCTGAAAGGAGACAGGCTAGAGATCTCTACATTTTGCTTTATCCCAATGATTATGAGACTGTACTACATCATTTATTGTATATTCTGTGTTTTTTAACTAGATTTATTTATTTTATTTGTATGATGTTCTGCCTACACGTATGTATGTGCACCATGTGTGTTCCTAGGACCCTCAGGGGCCAGAAGAGGACTGGATCCCCTGTAACTGCAGTTACACATGGTTATGGTACACCATGTGGGTGCTGGGAATCGAATCCAGGTCCTCTGCAAGAGAAGCAAAGTGCTCTTAACCACTGAGCCATTTCTCCAGCCCCCTCTTCCATGTTTTCAGTCAAGATCATAAGATTTCATTTTCTAATCATTTTTAAATTAGTTCAATATATTTGAGTTATAGAGAGTAATACTTAGTTTCTAAAGAAAAGTGATAATTTGAAAAAAAATACTGTGAGCTCTCCCAAAGTAGAATAAAAGAAAAAAGTGTATGGGCATGAAACAATAAAGCAGAAAAGGGATGTCTTCATTTCATTTCCTTTGCTGTGATAAGACACCGTGACAAAGCAGCTTAACGGAGAAAAGGTTTATCTGGTTCACAGTCCTGGGTTACAGTCCACCACTTCTGGAAAGCCAAGGCATCAGGAGCCAGCGTCAGGCAGCCAGTCACAGCACACGCACAGTTAAAAGCAGAGCAACAACCTGATGCGTGCTCACCGGTACTCAGGCTACCCTCCTCCCAGTCCGGGGCCAGCTCGTGACATGGTGCTGCTCTCATTCGGGGTGGGTCTTCCCACTCCAGTTAACCCAACAGGACAATGTATCACAGGCTGCCCACGGGTGAATCTGACCTGACATTCCTGAATGAGATTCCTTCTCAGGTGATCCTACATTGTGTCAAGTTGAGGAAGAGAACTAACATCAGCTGAGTACATCTGAAGAGCAACTCAGGGAGCAGAGGCCATCTGAAAAATACTGCTAAGCTGGGTTAAGTTCTGGGAAGACTGAGCCACAGCAATAAAGCAGAGAGACACCACAGTAGACAGGCACAGAAGGACAAAGAGGACACAGGCGAAGGTGGGACTTACCAAAAGTGACCATGAAGACAAAGCGTTAACAGTCCTAAAGCATTGGGTTAACTCAAGGGTTAAATCTTCTCCCAAGCTCAGGTCATTTTAAAATTACTTATTGACTTCTTCCAACCAAATAAGAAGTTCTCCCCAAACATGCAACAATAACACTCCGACATACGTCTAAAGCAGAGAAGCATAAAACGGGAAGCAGCTGACGGGTCAGTGGGGGAAAAGCAGCTGCTGCCAAGACCGACTGTTGGGTTCGATCCCCAGAAGTCATATGGTAGAAGTCCAGAACTGACTCCTGCAAGTTGTCCTCTGACCTCTGCACATGTGCTGGGCATGCACACACACACACACACACACACACACACACACACACACACACACACAATGTAATACATTTTACAAAGGCATATCAAATTAAGAGAATAAAGGATTGTCATAGTCACATATTTTCCATAAATGCAAAAAAATTCATTTGATAAAATTTATAATGTAGTAATAACAAATGTGCACTAAAATAATAAAGAGAGATTTTTAAGGAAATTGTATCTCTCAGAAAACAGCATTCTTTTCTTAAGTTTTTTTTTTTTTTTTTTTTTTTTTGGTTTTTTTCGAGACAGGGTTTCTCTGTGTAGCTTTGCGCCTCTCCTGGAACTCACTTGGTAGTCCAGGCTGGCCTCGAACTCACAGAGATCCGCCTGGCTCTGCCTCCCGAGTGCTGGGATTAAAGGCGTGCGCCACCACCGCCCGGCTTTTCTTAAGTTTTATTATACTTACTATTTGTGTGTTCGTATGTATGTGTGTATGCATGTGTACATGTGTGTATGTGTGTGTCTGTGTGTACATGTGATGTGTGTGCATGCATATGTATGTGTGCCTGTGTGTGTCTTTGCACATGTGTGCCTATTTGTGCCTGTGTGTACATATGCGTGTGTGCATGCGTCTACATACTGGAGGTGAGAAGGCAACCTGTGCTCTAAACAACATTTGCTGTTTTTTACTTTACACATAGAGTTTAGTGGCCTTCAGCTTACTCACATTATTATTACTATTATTTAAAGATTTAATCTTGTTTTTAAATATGTGTATATGTGTGTGTGTCTATGTGTGGGTATACACATGTGAGTGCAGTGCCCAACGAGGCCAGAAGAGGGCGTCAGATTCTCTGGAGCTGGAGTTAAGATGTTTGTGAGCCTGACATGAAATCACAGACTTACTTAAAACATGATGAGGTTTTTGTTCTTACTGTTTTGAGAACGAAATTTTCACTTGACCACCTGGTTCACAAGCATGAACGTTGCAGATGACAGTGCAGTCCAGAGAAGCTCAAATCTGGACACTCCTGCATGCTGCTGGTAGCAATTGTAGCATGAAAAATATTTAGAGCTGTCTAATAAAGTCAAAATTGGCGTACACCACTCCATTCCAGGGTAAAAGACCCTAGAGGAGTGTTTTTCAAACAACAGGTTACAAGTCAGTAATGAGCCATGAAATCAGTTTAAAGGACTGAGATCAATATCCCTTTTTTTTTTTAAAAAAAAACACCAGAGAACTTCATGAGTACTGGACAGGTCAGGTTATCATGGAATTGGCTTCAGTTGTATCTGAGGTGGTGGGCTCACTCTACAGATGTCTGTGGTTTTGTACGATGTACATTTTGCTCCAATTTGAAAAGCCCTACAAAAACTCTCTCCTTGTTTCCCGGAAAAAACCTTCCCCATGTTCACCAGAAAACATGAACAATGTGTTTCACCAATTTGTACAAAATATTGAAATATTGAACACAACTCAAATACTGATCAAAGGTGGAGACTTGAATAAGACAGTCAAAATGTGGCATTTATACATGCAGAACTATTATGACAAGTTGCAATGAAGCTTCTTGGCTACTTATGTAACTTAGATAAACCATAGAAGCAAAATCTCAGTTGAAAACAGAAAGTTATAGAGTACATCCAATATCATGCCTTTTCAATTGAGGTTAGAGACAATATACTAAAAATAAATAAAAACAACCCAGATATAGATTCCCCAAACTGGACTGGCTGGGGTCAGACCTGAGCCCTGCCACCCATAGGCCATGGATCTTGAGAAAAACACTTAACTTGCATGCCTCAGTTTCTCCCTCCACCTGTAAAATGTAAATAAGGACCTGCCTCATGAAGTTTTAAGATTTAAACTCACACAATAAATAACGAAGAAGGAACCTGAGAAAAAGGGCAGAGCCTGAAGTATTTTAGGTCTTAAGTTGGGTGGTAGGCACATAAGAATTTTACATCATCCCTAATGCATTTGCCTACATCAGATACTAAATTTATCAAACAAAGGCAAGATGGCCCAATGTCAAGGCTCTGTAAACAGGCTCAGAGTAAAACCCTTAAGGAGGTAAGGATGCTGTTTTGGGTGATGTGTACCTGGTTCTCAGCTTGTCGCCAGCAGTTGCAGTCCAGTTCTGGATCAGCCCCAAGACTGGGTTCTTCTTATGCTGCTTGCTGTACTGGGCCAGCAGTTCCCGGGCCACAACCTGCACAGAGAGTTAGTTTATCCTACATCAGCCATGTCTCACAAGTGTGGGACCTATCAATGTCCTCAAAAGCGGCAGCCAGATGAAGTCCAGTTGCCATTAGCAAACTCCTTAGAAAGAAAGAAATCTAAGACCCCATCCTTCTGGGGGCATCCATATCCCATGGTAGATATGTGGCATTTTCCAGACCACTCCGATCCCTCCCCAAGGCTGAGTCCTAACTCTGGAGAACTGCTCTCTCTCCCCTAGCTTCTGCCAGCCTCTCACACTAGCCTTGGCACCAACCATCTTAGTCGATGCATCATGTGAAAGCTGCTTGCTTCCAATAGCCCAGATGTCTCCGTTCCCTTTTCTGTCTTTGACATTCTCAGGTTGATTCAGTCTTTGGAGAATGCTACTAAAATATGCTAGGCAGTAGTGGCACATGCCTTTAATCTCAGTACTCAGGAGGGAGAGGCAGGCAGATCTCCATGAGTTCAAAGTCAGCCTGATCTACAGAGTGAGTTCCAGGACACACAAAACTGCAGAGAAACCCTGTCTTGACACCTCCCCCCCCCCAAAAAAAAAAACCCACAAACAAAGCAATCTGTCAATATCCATTAATTTATCAATATTCACTCTCCAGTGACTTTAAAGTTATCATTTTGTTTCAAAATACTGAATACTGTTGCAGATCTGTTCAAAGATCTCTCTGGATCAACCACAGAAGAGGCTCAGTGGACAGTGCACAGCCGGGACTAGACGTGTGAGTGATGTAACTTGGCCCCACCTGCCACTGACCACGCCCCTATAGGAAGAAAGAACCAACCAACTGAACCTTGACCCACGTTGCTGAAGCTCAGACCACATGATGACTGCAGTCACACTAACAAACGGTTGTCAGGGCACCGAACAAGTGCTGACTCACCTTTTCTCAGCTCTCGATTTTAGGACATTTTCTTCATTATTTCACAATAGTATACATGATCTCTCCCTCTCTCTCCCTCTCTCTCCCTCTCCCTCCCTCTCCCTCCCTCTCTCTCTCTCTCTCTCTCTCTCTCTCTCTCTCTCTCTCTCTCGTGTGTGTGTGTGTGTGTGTGTGTGTGTGTGTGTGTCCAGTTGTTTTGCCTTTTTCCATGGATTCCAGGTATCAGATTTCAGGTCCTCATGCTTTCATGACAAGCCCTTTCCCACTGAACCACCTCCGCTGCCCCAAACCGTATGTATGATTTTTGTTTTGTTTTTAACTTTATTTAAGGGAGAATCTTACTAATTTTCTCCTGCTGGTCTCAGACTCACAATCCTCTGGCCTCAGCCTTCTGAGTACCTTGATTACAGGACTGCACCCCAGGCCCTGCATTTTTGGAATGCTTTTACATGGATTATATATGGATATGATATGTGATTTCGTTCACAACAGCATCCTAAGCGATCCTTTGATTTTCATTGTGACATAGGAATCTACTTATCTGCTGAATGTCTGTATAAAATTCTGTTTGGACAAATCATAACTCATTAAACATTTCCACTCAGTAGGATATTTAAGTCACTTCTAATTGCATGGTATCATATGTGTGCATGTGTGTGCAGTGTGTGTAGTATACACATGGGAGTAGATACACTCACCATGTGTGGGAGTGTGAGGGCAGAAGTAAATGTCAGGTTTCCTATCCCCACCACACCCCCACCCCCAGGTTTTTTTGTTTTTGTTTTTGTTTTTCTGCGACATGTTTCCTGGATGAACTTGGAGCTTGCCATTTGGCTAGACTGGCCGGCAGGGAGCCCCTGGGGTCCGCCTGTCTCAGCTCCCTGACTCTAGGGTTAAAGATGCACACAGCCACACCCAACTTTTACATGGGTGCTGGGGATCTGAACCCAGGTCCTTCATGCCTACCAGCAGGTTTCACCCACTGAAGTGTCTCCCTAGCCCTTAATCTTTATATCCACATATTCCTTCCGACAGGTAGTACTTTCCTCTTTAGATCCCGGAGACCAAATCCTCACGCAAATGAACACAGGGTTCTCAGGGAAAGCCATGCTGTTCATGAAAGAGATGCTGAAAGGTCTCAGAGCCTTTGTTTTTTTTTTTGGTCTGGGGGAACTTTGTTTATCTGATAAATAGAGTCCTTGTTTATCTGCATGCAATAACCCTGCCTCCCTGTTCAATGCTATACAATGAACACACTGAGTTTCCAGGGTGCAGTTTTTCCAGCAGGGAGCCCAGTCCACCCAAAACCAGGATTTATGTCTGTATCAGCTGTTATTTCTTTATTCACTCACACCTCCTCATAGGGTTGAGTGCCTGGGCTATACAAGGAACCGAGCATCTAACATTTTTGTTTGGTTCCTTGAAGTATTGTCTTGAAACTTCAAATTTCTGTCTTTAGGGGCCTGAGAGATGGGTCAGAGGTTACGTGCACTGGCTTCCAGAGGACACAGGACTGATTCCCAGTACCCGTACAGCAGGTCACAACGTTCTGTAACTCCAGTTCTAGGGGATGTGACACCCTCTTTTGGCCTCCATGGTGCATAGACATGCATGCTGGCAAAACACTCATACACATAAAATAAAAATAAATAAATATCTTCAAAAATAAGTTATACCTTTAGACGGACTGCATGGTCAAAGATTTTTATCTTAGGATATAGGGGGTGTAATGGAATATAGAGCATAATGCATTAAGTCCAGTGGGTGTGGGAGTCACTGTATTATGGGGTCCAGTAACATGAACATTTTTATGATAGCTACAGCTATATAAAACAAGCACGAAAATCAAACATCGCCAACAGTGAGAGTGTGCTGATATAGTGTGTACCCTAAAAAATTTGCCTGAAGATCAGAGGACAGAACAAGCCACTAGATTAAACAAAGAAGTCAGACCGTGGTGGCACACACCTTTAATCCTAGCACCTGGGAGGCAGAGATCCATGTGGATCTCTGTGAGTTCAAAGCCACCGTGGACTACATGAGATTGACTCAGTTTAGGAGAGAAACAGAGCTAGGCAGTGGTGGCACACGCCTTTAATCCCAGCACTTGAGATTTTATGCCTTTGCTCCCAGTACTTGGGAATCACATGCCTTTAATCCTAGCACTAGGAAGGAGGTAATATGGCTGGGCGGAGAAATGTATCTAAGGCGTGAGGAGACAGGAACTAGAGCTTTTTCAGCTGAAGCCCCTTTTTGGCTGGAGCCTTTTCAGGCTGAGGAGTCCTAGAGGTAAGACGTGGCAGTGACTTGTCCTTCGTCTCTCTGATCTTTCAGCATTTACCCCAACATTTGGCTCCGGGTTTTTTATTAAAAGACCATTTAGCAATTCGAGTTACGTGAGAGAAACAGCTAAGTATAAGTGGAAATAAGAGTTAAAACGATCCAGCATTCAAGCTCAAGCTTCACCAACTGTATCATCAAGACTAACATTTACAGGTTTGGTTCTTGTGAACATTTACAGTTTTGGTTCTGTTTAACGTATGAGTGTTCCGACTTGCTCTCCCTCTAGTTCCAAAAGCATCATCATTCCAACTGTTAAACAATGGCTGTTTCTGCCTCCTGCCCACTGCAGTCTTCCCTGGATTTACAGCCGCCCCAGAACAGAGCGCACGTTGGCTGCTGAGGTCTCTCTGTTGCCTGGAATACAGGTACCAGGAGGGCAGATGTGTCTGTCCTTCACCAGCAGACAAGGAACAACAGTCTGGGGAGTGGGAGAGTCCCTGGATTCCAGTTGGCTCTTCAATGAGGGAGCGGGCGGGCATGTTCCCTTCCTGCCTTCCTTCGCCCCATCTCTCCAGTCCCTCAGCAACACTCTCTGTCACTGCTACAATCTCTCTGATTTGAGCGACTTAAATTGAGAATATTAAGTCACTCTAATTAGAACAAAATTAGAATGACATAATAATCAACTTCTTCCTGCTAAATTTAAGAGAGCCAAGAAAAGCTGCCCCTTGGCTAGCACCACAAAAGCAGGTAACCCCCTTGGGGGGTCTCTGCTCCTTTTTCTAGGTCATGAGACAAATCGATACGCTTTTCAAATGGGTTATTTCGCACTGCCGGTGGCTCCCTGGTGAGAGCCCTGGTGTTAGTAGACCTTCTGGTCACTGTGGCAAATATCCAGCAAAGTAATGGGAGGATCTGCTTGGGCTCACAGCTTCATGGCACCGAGGGCATAGTAGGGTAGCAGAGCCGCAGGCATCATTGTGGCCAGAAAGCAGAGACAGAGAGTATCTCACTAACAGACTTTCTCATCTCCCCTGGTCATTCCATCTGGGTGCCCGGCCTCTGGAATGCAACAATCAAGGGTGTTCCCTCTTGGTTAATCCTCATAGGTATACCCAGGTGTGTTTTGATAATCTTCCAGATGCTTCTTAAATCCAAGTTAGTAGAAAGTCAAGATTGATACCCAGATCAGAGATAGAAGCTCTCAGCTAGAGATTCGGCGGCTACAGCCTCTAGATCAAATACTTTATCAGACAGAATAGCAGACAAGGCCGAGACAGGTCAGATGCCCGAGCTGAGCCCGCAGCTGAAATGAGCGTTTCTACCCGTGAGATACGTTCCTGAATAGACTAGAATAGAATATGTTTTATATTTTATCGTATTTACACTACTTTTATACCTTCCCGTTTTAAAACCATCACAGATTCACAAAAAGTTACAAAAGTAAAGTACTACAGAGAGATATACACGAGGAAACTGACCTCAGATGTAACAATAGTGCTTCTCAAAACTAGGAAATTCTGCAACATATTTATTCGTCATAGTAGAAATTTCATTATTTAAAAAATATATCCTTTTCTTTCTCTCTTTTTCATTTTTTGTTTGTTTATTGAGACAGGTTCTCTCTGTGTAGCCCTGGCTGTCCTGGAACTCATTCTGTAGACAAGATTGTGCTGGAACTCATAGAGATCCTCCTGCCCCTGCCCCTGCCCCTGCCCTGCCTCTACCCTTGGCCCGGCCCCTGCCCCTGGCCCTGCCCCTGCCCCTGGTCCCACCCCAGCCCCTGCCTTTGCCTCCCAAGTGCTGAAAT